ATCAAGAAAGAAGAGCCATGAATGGAGCCTGAGAGGTGGCGGCAGAGGTAGTGGAATGGAGAGAAAGCTGCTGTGGAATATGGGTAAGAGGCTGGCTTACAGAATGTGCCCTTTGGGCATTTACACATTGGTTACAGGAGCTTTGTAACACTTGCCCAAGCAGGACAGAGGTTGAGAGGTCTCCTGACAGAAAGGCTGAAAACAAGGGCAAGGCATGCCTGTGGTACAGTAGAGAAGAAACATTCCGAGCTGGAGAACTGCGGCATCCTGAGTTGTTTCTGATCCTGAATTGGATCCTGTTTACTTCCCTAATAAAATCCATAATTGTGAATAGTGTCTATGAGTTTTGTGTGGCCAATGCAATGCATCATCGAACCCAGATATGAAGCAGAGAGTGCTGTGGGCAGGATGGTTGGTGTCAGAAGAGGGTAAAGAAAGTTGCAGGGTGGAGACATGTCTGACCTTAAACTCAGAATCAGCTTTGAACTATTTTTGAGTTTGAATCTCCTTCCTCCTTGTGAAGCCATGGGAAGTCTGACATTTTAATAGCCACATAGCTAGGAGGTGGCAAAATAAATGCACAAATCTATAGATATTCAATTCCAAGTCTCTGCTCTTTTCCGTTACAGTAGGCTGCCTTCCTATGACTGGGAAAACTCTAACTTAGTTGAGTTTTTTAGAAGGCTGTGCCACAGTATTGTATAGTGGCTATAAATACTAAGCCACAGAGCATACTGGGACAACTGGAAGGTGTAGAATTAAATATCTTTGAGAAGCATGCCTGAAGGATTCCTCACAGCCATGGAAACAGAAGAACTTTCTTTACTACACCCCTAATAAAAGAGGTATCTTGACAGAAAAAAGCAAAGCCATAAAGAAGACAGATCTCCTACAAATAAGGCCATGAGTTAAAAATAATTTTTGAAAAACTTGTTCAAAGTAATGGTGGGATGGATGGGGAAAAGAAAAAATAAAGTTTATAACCAAAAGAAGTCATACCACAGTCAAGTAAGTAATTTATTGAAAATATTGTATCTACCTCTTAGGATACAAATCCTGGTAGAAGCTGGACTGTGACAACAGATAATATTCTGGCAAGTGAAAAATGATGAAAAGTTCCCATTCATTTCACTCAGAAACACTTTATAAAAGCTGATTGGTAAGAACTAACATGTCAGAGAACTTCCAGAATTTCCCAAATACCGTATCTATTTGTATCACTATTAGTACTAAATGGATTGCCCAGGATTTATGGCTTGGCCAGAATTTTCACAGGGTTAGCAATTGGGATGTGCTATTTACATGGTGATGAAACCTAATACAAGCATACTTAACTCTATGATGAGCTGCTATGAGCATCCAATCAATTAAAGGGATTCTTCCTTGGGGGTGTGGCCTGCTTCCAATATAATGAACACAAGAGAGGGACTCTCATTCTCTTTCACTCTCTTCCATTGGGGACTTGGGACTTTACAATTGTCAGACTATTTTTTACAGTGAACCTCTCTCTCTCTCTCTCTCTCTCTCTCTCTCTCTCTATATATATATATATATATATATATATAACAGATACAAGTTTTACTGGTTTTGCTCCTCTAGAAAGCCTAAGATATGTGGTACCAGATGTGGGGTTCTAGAAAAGCAAAATCACAAGGATGAGTTTTCTAAATTGGTCCTCTAGCCTGACTAATTTTAAAGGCACTGATAAAGGTGGAAGCATGTCTGACCTCCACTTCATAGGAATCAGCCTTGGGCTAATTTTGTGTTTGGTCTTCTTTCTCTCTTACGGGAGCCAAAGGAAGTCAGACATGGTCTCCACTTAGTTTAAACAGTTGGTGCTATGAGTAGAATTCATTGCAATGGCTCCAGACATAGGAAATTATGAGGTTTTGTAAGACAAAGAACAAGGGCTGATATTCTTATGAATATACACATTTTTTGTTTTCTTTTCTTTCCTATGTGTGCATCAAATATTTATGCTTTGTTAATTTGTGAAATAAAAGATGTAAATGGGGTCAGTGCATTTTAGGTTATACACATTTATGTTAGGCGCAAGTATGATTTTACAATTTTCTTTATTTAGAGATAATGCATATAGTTTATAGGTTTCAAGTTGACAAGGGTAAACTGTAATAGTTAGGGTTCTGTGTCAACTTAAATAGGCCAGGATTTCAAAAGGTTTAACAATTGTGATGTACTTATTCCCATGGTGATAAAATCTAATACAGGCATAGTTAACTCTTTGATGAATAACTGTGAGCAGCCAATCAATTGAAAGGATGCTTCCTCGTGGGTGTGGCCTGCTGCCATATAATCAACATGTGGGAGGGACTCTCACTCTTCCTCTAGGGACCAGGAACTCTACAACTATAAGCCATTTCCTTGATAATAAACTTAACTAAAACAAAAATACACACACATATAGATATAGATACATATGTTTCACTGGGTTTGCTTATCTAGAAAACCCAGCCTAAAACACCCAACAACAAAAAATTTCATGAAAAGCAAGCCAAGAAAAAAAAAGGCTAATGACAAAAGAAGTCTACCAAGAAGAATTTTAAAAACAGATCCTCTCAATGTTTTAAGGTCATAAATTCAGCCACAATAAAGTTCATAAAAACAACTTTAAAAAATTACAGCAAAAAGACCTGAAATAATCACTCTACAGAAAATGTTAATTTGTAACTCTTTTTTAACTTTTGAACAACAGTATACTCAAAAACACATAACATACATTATGCACACACACAAGAGGGTGACCAAAGTTATCTGCACTCTGGTTATATTAAAACTTTTGTTGGCTACACTGTCTTTTCAGCACTTTCCACTCAAGGTCACTGTTGCGTAGGTATGAACGTGGGCATCTGCAAACAAAATTTGGATCAATACTCAAAGGAAGGTAAAGTTTCTTTTAAAAAACCATTACTGGTGACAAGACACAGATTCATCACTAGGAACCTGAGAGTAAACAACAGAGTACAGAATGGAAACATCCTCTATCACCAACCAAGAAAAAGTTAAAAACTCAACCATGAGCTAGAAAATTGATACTTACAGATTTCTGGAATTCTCAAAGGCCAGCATTGTAACACTATCTGGAAAAAGGTTCAACAATCAACAGTGCTCATTACAGACAATGCCACTGAAAAGCTGAAGTGTAAACTTTCTATTAAGCACAGAGGACTGCTATCCAAGGGCACTGTGATCTTGAGTAAAAATGCACATCCATAAACCTCTGCCTACACTTGTACACATTCTGCAAAAACGTCATTTCGAGGTGTTAAATCATCCTCCCTGTGGTTCTGATCTTGCACCATCAGACTTTCACCTGTTTGGTACCCTGAAAGCAGCCATTTGAGGACGAAGATTCACCTCTTAAGAATAAGTGAGGACGGTGCATTTGTGGCTCACAGCTCAGTCTGAAATATATATATATATTTTAAATAAGGGAATAAGAAAGCTTACTGACAGATGAACAAAGTGTATTGAAAAGCAAGATTGTGTCGAAAAATGATGTATTTGTTTTTTCTAAAAGTTGATTACAATAAATTCTACAGTCAAAATGCAGATAATTTTTGACTCACCCTATATTTTATGTATGTATGTGTGTGTATACACACACACACACACACACACACAAACACACATAGTTATTCTGATCCATAGCGACCCTGTATAGGGTTTCCAAGGAGTGGATTGTGTGCTTGAACAGTCAACCTTGTGGTTTAAACTGACTGCAGTTCAGTGCATTAGCCTACGCATCACACCAGGACTTCATATGTGTGTGTGTGTGTGTCCATGTGTAGAGAGAGAGAGTTTTGGTGTGACGCTGTAGGATAAGCACTGAGTCACAAGGTATGTGTGTGTGTGTGTGTGTTGCTGCTGCTGCTGTTGTTGTTGTTATTGTTGTTAACTGCTATCAAGTCGTCAGTTCTGACTCATAGCTTCTCATTTTGGGTTTCTGAGGCTATAAATCTTGACATGAGCAGAAAGCTTCATCTTTCTCCCATAAACAGTCCAGTTCTTAAGCTACCAGAGCCTTAGTACTCTCCAAAATATATACATATGAAGTCAATCCTATTTTCAAGTTTAAAGTAAAATGAAAAATACATATTTGATTCTTTCTTACTGCAATTTAGTTTCGAATGGTGCAAATTAATACAACATGAAGTTCACTCACTGACAGCCATCCAATATGGAAAGTACCATGGACTGTCAAAAAGAACAAACAAATCTGTCTTGAAAGAAGTAGCGCCAGAATGCTCCTAGAAGTGAGGACGAAAATTTTCATCCTAGAAGTGAGGATGAAAGATTCCCTCTCTCGTACTTTGGACATATTATCAGGAGGGACCAGTCCCTGAAGAAGGACCATCAATGTAAAAATGGAAGGTCCAAGAAAAAGAGGAAGACCCCTAACAAGAGGGATTGACAATGGCATCAACAATGGGCGCAAACATAACAATTGTGAGGACAGCACAGGACTGGGCAGTGTTTCTTCTACTGTGCATAGGAAGCAACTCAACATGACCTAACAACAACAGCAACCATTTCAAGAGGTAGAATATGATCAAGAACTTCTGTTACTGAAGGAAGAAGTGCAAGTTGCATTAAATGTATCTGCCAAAAACAAAGCTCCAAGAATTGATGGAATACAAATTGAAATGTTTCAACAAACTGATTCGGTGCTGGAGGCCCTCAGTAGTCTAAATCAAGAAATTTGGAAGAAAGCTACTGGCCAAACAATTGAAAGAGATACATATTTGTGCTCATTCCAAAGACAGGTGTCCCAATGAAATTAATTCATTGAACAATTATCATTAATATCAATGCAAATAAAACTTTACTGAAGATCATTCAAAACTGGTTGTAGCACTACACTGAAAGGGAGCTGCCAGAAATTCAAGCTGGATTCAGAAGAGGAAGTGGAAAAAAGGATATCGTTGCTGATGTCAAATGAATCTTGGCTGAAACCAGAGAAAGGTGTTTACTTGTGCCTTATTGACTATGCAAAGACACCCAACTGTGTGGATTAAAACAAACTATGGTGTAAAGAATGAGTATTCCAGAAACCTTAATTGTGCTTATGAGGAACCTGCACATAGATCAAGATGCTGTTTGAACAGAAGAAGCAGGTACTGAATGGTTTAAAATCAGGGAAGGTGTGAGCCAGCGTTGTATTCTTTCAATAATCAGTCGCTAGCTTATATGAAGAATGTGGCATCAGGATTGGAGGAAGACGAATTAATAATCTGTATTATGCAGCTGACACGATCTTGCATGCTGGTAGTGAAGCAGATTTGAAATACTTACGGAAAAGATTAAAAAAAAAAAAATACAACCTTTAGTATGGAAGGATGTAAAATCATCAATGTAAAAAAAATGAAAATCCTCAGTACTGGACCAATAAAGAACATCATGATAAATGGAGACAAGAGTAACGTTGTTAAAGACTTCATTTTGCCTGGATGGGCAATGAACACTCATGGCAGCAGCAGTCAGTTTCAAAACACATACTGCGTTATGCAAGCCTGCTGCAAGACTTCCTGAAAATGTTAAAGAGCAAAGAGGTCACTTTGAAGGCTAAGTCACCTGATCCAACTGAAGGTATTTTACTTGCCTCATATGCATGGAAAAGAGTATCAAAGTATCGTGGACTGCTAGAAAAACACACAAATCTGTTGTGGAAGAAGAGCAGCCAGAATGCTCATTAGAAGCCAAAATGGCCAGACTATGTCTCTCATACTCTGAAGACTCATTATCAGAAAGGACCAATCTGTGGAGAAGGAAATGCTTGGTAAAGTGGAGGGTTAATGAAAAAGAGGAAAACCTCTAACAAGAAGGACTGACACAGTGGCAGCAGCAATGGGCTCAAGGGTAACAATTGTGAGGTTGGCACAGGACCTGGCAGTGTTTTGTTCTGTTGTGCATAGGGTTATTATGAGATGGAACTGAATCAAAAGCACCTAACAACAACATATGCATGTGAAAACTGGACACTGAACAAAGAAGACTGTAGAGCAATTGACGTATTTGAATTATGATATTGGCAAAGGATACGGAAGTACCATAGATTGCCAGAAGAATATACAAACCTGTCTTGAAAGAAGTAGAGCCAGAATGCTCCTAAGAATCAGAAGCAAAGGCGGCTTGCTTCTCTCATTTTTTGGACCTATTCCCAGAAGGGACATTATGCTTGGTACAGTGACAACAAAAAAAGAAAACCTGCTACAATATGGTTTGATGCAGTGGCAGCAACAGTGGGCTCCAACATAATAATAGTGAGGACCGTGCAGGACCCTGTAGGGTTAGCTTTTATTGTGCATAAAGCCGCTCTGAGCAGACAGACTTAAAGGCACCTAACACACAGCAATTCTAAAAGAAATGTAGTGTTTCCAAATGTAACTTAAAGTGTGCTTAAAAGGGAAAGTTGCTATGCTGTAAAGTACCTTTTGTCACCATTCTAAATTTAATCATTTCTTAGCTATTGTTACTAAAGAGCAAAGAATGTGTACTAGTTACTTTAAAATCACTATTATAATTTATATTTATTCATATAAGTTAAGAAGAGGCATGGAATACAGAGTTTATATTATCTTGTTATAAAAGCAAAATCTGAGATAGATAAAACTATGAAATTTAATTTTAAATACCTTTATGCATACGAATTTTTACACTAAACCTATATTGCTGTTATTGCGTGCTGTGTTGTTGGTTCCAACTAATAGGGCCCCTGCATAGGTTTCCGAGGATGCAAATCTTTGCAGGAGTAGAAAGTCTCAGCTTTCTCGCACAAAACCTGTATTAGTTCTATGCAAAAAATAAACCTCAGTTTAAAAAATCAATTAAAAGTTATCATTAACAATGCAATAATTTGGAGGAAATACTAGGAATCTGTGATTTGTAACTCTGACTCCACAATTTTGTTTTTTTGGCACAGACTCACTGTGCTATTTTGGATGCGATGCCTGTCACTATCAGCTGTGAGAACGTGGCAAGATCCCCAGCCTCTGGATGCCAGCGGTCTTGTCAACTACACAGGGATGATCAACAGCACCCTGCTCACAGGGTGATGAGGCCTGAGTCAGGTAGTGTAGGAGGCGGCTTCAATACATTCAGGGGAAAATTCCATTATCTTTTCATTTCATTTCTCCATGAACATTTTGAAGCATCCTCACATAAGAAGCCCTTAACATAGTGCCAGGCACACAATCACATTCAATAAATGCTAGGGAGTAGTGGCTGACAGGTGCATGACTAAGATCCAGGAAGACTAAAGGGCAAGAAAAGGATACCAAGGCAAATAGGAGCCAGGCCACAGCACTTCTGCCCTTGACAGCTAGTAACAGAGATGGTACAGGCTGTGGAGAAAATACCTTTAAATTCTCAGAAAACCGTCTGGAGCCTTAAGTTGAATTTCTCTAGAGTAGAAGGCATGTAGACTCCACAAAAACCACACAAGCCAAATCACCAATGCTTCTGAGAGGAAAACTGCATTTACTTTCCTGGAGCTTTGTGATCCACATATGTGAAGGGACAACACAGAGTAGATGTGGATACTCAATTTCCTAAAGTGGAGGCCAATGCAAACAGAAAAGTGCCAGCATTTCCCCTCTGCAGTGCATCTAGGAAAACTGACAATGGGGTGGGAGAGGGAACCGGGTGCAACAGGGTTGGGGGTATTGGTGGTGGGGAGTAATCTACAAAAAAAGGCTCTTGGTTGTTGTTAAGTGCCATCGAGTCAATTCCAACTCATAAGGACCCTGTATAGGGTTTCCAAGGAGCAGCTGGTAGACATGAACCTCCAACCTTGCAGTAAACAGTCCAGTGCTTAGCTTATAGCACCACACCAGAACGCCCGAGAAAGGTCCTGGAACCTAAGAATTGGGGAGATCCTGGAATACCAAACAGTCCTGACCTCACAGGATTAAGGTAAACAAACTGGTTTTTATTCCAATTCAAATTTCTCTAGGTTACTGAATTTTAAAATACCAAAAGGGATCTGATCAAGGTCTCTACCCAAAGTACAAGGAGCTCTGGTAGTGTAGTGGTTACAAGTCGGGCTGCTAACCGCAAGGTCAGCAGTTCCAAACTACCAGCTAGCTGTTCTGTGGGAAAAAGATGAGACTTTCTGCTCCTGTAAAGATTTACAGCTTTGGAAACCCTGTAGTGGTTATGAGTTGGAACCAGCTCCATGGCACACCACCAACCCCACCACCCAAAGTTTGCTCACTTTTCTTCTGCTTCTCTTTTCTTACCATATTCAGTCACCATTAATTACCTCTTTCACAGTATTAAAGATGGGTAAGTCCAGATGCATCTTGCCTCCTTTCCCTGGGGTTGTTCCTCCAACTAGTTTGGTGCCATAGTCTAATGCCTTTTGGCTATGAAAGGTGCCCTGGGGATAAAAACACAAGAATCGTGAGAGATCAGACTCAGGTGTCTGAAGAGAAGCCAAGGCAGTCTTAAGCAACTTAGGAAAAGAAAAACAAAATAGGTCAACCAGAGTACAGCAATGACATATCTCCAGCATTCTCTCAGCAATTTATTAAACACAGCTTTGAATCTTGAAGCCTAACTCTGCAGAGCCAAAATAGCTGTATTCCATTTCCAAACCAGGTTGATCAGAATACCCTGGTACTTTTAAAAGTACATCTTCTTTTCAGTGTTTCATAACTCCCAATGCCCTCACACTTCTGTCTACCCTGTTTATATATTTATTTTCTTTAGGCTAGTGTGGCAAAGGACAAACTGTCCTGTGTGGGGGGTGGAAGTGTAAATGAAACCTAGTTTGGTGAGCAATTTAGCAATTTACTGTTTAAAATTCATGATAACATTACTCTCTCACAACCTTGTCTCTCTATCACTTCAACGTAAACTTCTGACAAATTTACAACGTTGGTTCAATCTAAATCTCCACCAACTGTAAGATGCACTAATAGCCAAACAGTGGCTGAAGAAAAAACCAAACTGGTCACACTTAATGGTCACTGACTTTAAGTGCCCAGTCAATCTCCTGTATCTATGTATTTACTCATTTTCTACCTAGCGCAAGTTTTCTTTCCCTTCACTACTGACATTGTAGACAGGCTAATTCTTTGTTGTAGGAGGTTGTCCAGTACTTTAGGATGTTCAGCAGCATTTCTGATGGTAGAGCATGGCCTCTACTCATTAGATGCCAGTAGTACACTAGTTATGACAACCAAAATATCTCTGGTATCACTAAACATCCCCTAGAGGGCAAAATCACCATGCAATGAGAAGAGCTGTCCTAGACAATCATTCACACACTTTGCTACCTCCTTATTTCCAACACTTCCCAACCCATCCCTACTGTCAGGTGAAGAACTTGCTTCCTATTTCACAGAGAACACAGGTCCTGAGGGAGAAGAGAACTTTTATAAGCTTCTCTCATCAATCTATCTACTTACCCACACATACCCTGCCTTCCATTTGCATGGAAGAACTGTGTGTGCTCTGAGTAAAGTTCACTCCCTCCACTTGTGCACTCATCCGAAGTCCTCTAATCTATGAAGGACATCACTGGTCATGCACCCATGTTTTCCCTTATACCATCCATACACTCATGGTGTTAATTCTCTCACCTCTCCACTGAAACTTCTCTTGTCTAGTCAACAACTGTCACATGGCCAAATCCAATGATCAGTCCTTGGTCCTCATCCTACTTGATCTCTCTCTTAGTATCTATAATAGCTCATTATCCCCACTACTTAAAAGATTCTCTTTCCATTTAAATTTGTGCCCTGGATGATCTTGTCACATAACATGGCAATAAATATTATCTATACAGTGACTATTCCCATACAGACACACACACACACCACATATATGATCCATTCACACTGTCAACTGCCTACCTGGTATCTCCACTTGAGAGAACTAATCGGCATCTCAAATTTGCCACTCAGTATTCCTGATCACTTCCCTCTAGTCCACCCCTTTCCTTACCAAAAATATTAGTCATCCTTGATTCTCCTCATTCTCTTATATCCTACATCAGATTCAATAGTAAATCTTAATTTACTTGCAAAGTATATCCTGAATCAGACAATTTTTCACCTCTTCCTCCATGTTCTAAGTCATCAATCAATATCTCTTGATAGATTACTACTTGTGTTCTTTTCCAAAATATTCTCAATCAAGCCTCCAGAATGAGCCTGCAAAACCTAAGGAAGATCATGCCATATCTATGCTCAAACCCTCTGATGGTTTTCTGTTTCATTTGGAGTAAAAGCCCAACTCCATGCAATGACCTATAAGACAACACACAAGTTGCCTCCCCACATGAGAACCCCTAACTGCCTGACCTGACTCACGATTCTCCCATTGCTCAGTCCACTCTAGCTACCATGGTAACCATGCAGCGTCTACAAACATACAGCAGGCACACGCCTGCCTCACAGCCTTACTGTCCCCTTATCTGCAATGCAGTTCCTTCACATCTCAGCATGGTTTACTCCAACATCTCCTGTAGACCTGGACTCAAGAGGTCAGGCTTTCCCTGACCACCTGATACAAATCTATCACTACCCTCAACTAACTCTCTCTCTCTCTCTCTCTCTCTCACACACACACACACACACACACACATATAAAAAGAGCTCTGGTAGCACAGTGATTACAAGCCAGGTTGCTAACCTCAAAGTCAGCAGTCTGAAACTATCAGCTGTTCCATGGGAGAAAGAGATGAGGCTTTCTGTTCCCGCAAAGATTTCCACAACCTCGGAATTTCTATGCAGGGTCGCTCTGGATCAGAACCAACTCCACAGCACATAACTACCACCACCATAGATATGTATGTATACACACACATACATATACATAAATACACACACACACTCCTCTGTTACGTGGGTTATTTTTTCCATATCATTTGTATCTTGTAATATACTACATAATTTACTCGTTGATTTTGTTATTTTATTAATGTGCTTCTTTCTCCCCTACGCAAAAATGTAAGTTCCACGATTCCATGTCTGTTGTCTGCTTTGTTCTCTGCAGTATAGCACCTAAACCAACACTTCAAACAGTTGTTGAAGAAAATGGATGAGTCTCTGCAGTCATTCTAGTTCTATTGAAGGCACAAAAAGACGGGAAGCTTAAGAGGGACTTTTTAAGTTCTTTGAATCAACTTGTTCATATTTCAAAATAATAAAGTTGGCCCCAAGAACATTAACTGACTTTCTAAAGTCAGCGACTGAGTTTTGGAAAAAAACAAAGGTCAGTGCTCTCTGTATTAGAACAGAGCTAGACAAAGTGTGTCTGAAGACTCTTGTTGGTGTGAAATAAGAGGAAAAGGAAAGCGGCAAAAAATAAGAGGTAAGAAAAAATTACTAAAACTAGAAGAGATAAACTACGAAAGTGTTTGCAAACTTTTATAGAAGCATACTATTGCTATTACTTTTATGCTACTTTACAAAACTATTGATCCACAACAAGGTTGGTGGTTCAAACACACCAGCTGCTCCTTAGAAACCTTATATAGGGTCACTATGAGTCAGAATTGACTCGTTGGCACTTAACAACCACATAAACTGGCCTGTGGGATTTAGTCCACCACTTATTATTGCAAAGTGTCTGTAAATTAGGTCTTATGGGAACACTGCCATGCCCATTCATTTACACACTGCCATAGCTGCTTTTGCTTCAACAATTCATTAAGCAGTTGTAGCAGAAACCTGCTAAGCCTAAAATACTATCTCACCTATACACAAAAAGGATCCTTGTTCTAGATCTCCAAAATACTACAGAATTGACGTGACAATTCTTTTAATTACACAAAAATTATTAACTGCTTTTATCTTGTCAGATCTCCTTTAAGAATAATGAAAATCATGTGTTGTTGTGTGCCGTGAAGTCACAACATGCTGTGTGCAATTTCGACTCAGAGCAACCCTAGATAGGGTTTCGGAGGCTGTAAATCTTTACAAGACAAGAAATCCTCATCTTTCTCCTGCAGAGTGGCTGGTGAGTTCAAAATGCTGCCCTTGTGGTGAGCATCCAGCTTGTAACCCATTAGGCCTACTTTGGGTTGAAGACACATGGTATCTAATGGATTTGGTAGTATTTACTCATTTTTTAAAAATTAAGGTGTCTACTATTTGTTTTGTTGTTGCTAAGTGCCGTCAAGTCAGTTCTGACTCATAGCGACCCTGTATGGGGTTTCCAAGGAGCAGCTGGTGAATGGTAGAAATATAAGTTTAGTACAAATGTCTTTAATGACAATTTAGAAGTACCTGTCAAAATTTCAAATGCACAGACCCATTAACACCTAATTTTTTACTTTCAGGAATTTTTTATAGATATACCTATGATATAAATCATATATATGCTACATATGTTTTATTAGTAAAAACACAAGAGCTATTCTATATGTAACATATAGTGTCACATCAATTCTGCAGTATTTTGGAGATCTAAAACAGGGGCACTTTTTCTGTAAATGGTGAGATAGTATTTTAGCCTTAGCAAGTTTCTACTACAACTATTTAATGAACTGTTGCAGTAAAATTAGCCTGGAATCCTGGTGTGGTGCTGTAGGGTAAGCGGTGGACCACAAGGTCAGTTTGAACTGCAAGGGTGGCGGTTCAAACTCACCATCCACTCCTTGGAAACTATACAGGGTCACTAAGAGTCAGAACCAACTCAACATTACTTAACAAACCAACAACAACATATTGTTCTATAGAATAAACTCTGTAAAATACATGTCATAAATATAAATTTGTTTTATGTACAAGAGAAAAGGATCTGGAAAGCTACATGCCAATTAGTTAATTGTACTCCTGAGGAGTACAATAGTAGGTGACATAAGAGGGGAAAAAAGATTCTTATGTTGCATTTTACTGTGGAATCATATCACAGATACATTTCAACACAATGTAAATTCCATGGGGGGGGGAGGAGAGAGAGAGAGAGAGAGAGGATAAAAATGAATGAATGAGAATATTTCAGGCAATTGTGCCTGCACGCCCCCTTAAGCACTTGCCAGTAAGAAAGTTTAAGACAGGAATAGTCAATATACCTAAGGCCTAGGCTGTGTCCTACGAATCTCTCAGTTCCCATAAGTGTCTCTGGGTTTGAACAGTTCCCTACATAGACTATGGATTTGATGTTTAAAAGTGTGTAAACACCGTGTGTATTTTTTGCACATAGCCTAATCACAAGCCATACACTTTACCTAGTAGTTAATCAAAGAAACAGTGATCTGTCCAATGCTGGAGGAAAACTCGCTGTGTTGTTCTTGCTGATAGACAGTGAGTCTCTAGCATAGCATTGTTGTTGTGAGTTGTTGACTCGATTTTCAAGGTTTTGCCAAACACAAATGTTCATTTTTACAGGCTGATGATAGCACACAACCTTGTAGTATACAAACCCATTTTATAAAACTATACAATTTTTCAGTTGTTGCTGTTAAGTACCGTAGAGTCGGTTGCAACTCGTAGTGACCTGCACAGGGATTCCGAGGCTGTAAATCTTTATGGGAGCAGAAAGCCTCATCTTTCTCCCACGGAGAAGTTGGCAGTAGCAATCATGTATTATTACTTTTGAGACTTAAAAAAAAAAAAGTAATTTATTTGTTATTATCTCTTCTCTATACCGTAAAAAACAAAAGTCTAGATGTACATACCTGCTTACCAGTGAAACCCTGGCAAATAACTTTTGTGTTTTTATCAATATAGAGATTTTTCCGAGACGATGTATAGGAACAATGTCGAATTCCATTGTGCTGCACTGAAAAGTAAAGAAATATGACATAAGCTTTTGTGCCATGAGTTAAACCTAGTTAGAGAAGAAAGAAAAAAAAAAACCTCTAATACAGAGTTATCATGCAAATTTAAATGTCATTTTTAAAGTGAGACATGTTGACCATAGGAATAGATTAGAAAAAAATAAACCCAAACCACATTTTTCTAATTTCCAGAATCACGTCTTCACCTAGAACCAAACTCTTGTATTCTTAGTTTTTATTAATTGAGAAAGAAAAGTTGAAATTTATAATTTTTGTTCTACAGAAAGAAAACTTGCGATCAAGGATAAATGGTTCAAATTAAATCCAACCTCAGAACCAATCCACTGTGGTCTTGTTGAGTTCCACTCATGGGACCCCTAGAGACAGCACAGAACTGATCCATAATATTTTTGAGGCTATAAATTATTACCAGAGCAGACAGCCTCATCTTTCAGAGCGACAGGTGGATCTGAACCACCAATCTTGCAGTTAGCAGCTTAATGCATAACCTACTGCACCAACAGGGCTTCAAAACTAAATCCAAGGATTTCAAACTATTATGATTAAAGGAGCTCTGGTAGCATAGTGGTTATGAATCGGGTTGCGAGCCGCAAGGTCAGCAGTTCAAAACTACCAGCTGTTCCATGGGAAAAAGATAAGGCTTTCTACTCCCGTAAAGATTTACAGCCTCGGAATCCCTGTACAGGGTCGCTATGAGTCAGAACCGACTCCACGGCACATAACAACAACAACAACAACTTACTATCACTTCCATTAAGGCTCAGTAAACAGCCACATGTTTCCCCCATTTCACCCAATTTTTTCAAGTCATTCACTTGTAAATAATACAAGGGCTACAGGGTAAACTGTCAAGAATACTAGTCTGTTCCATAAAAAAATCCTAATCAAAAGGGAAGACATGCAGAACAGAATTTCAAAGTCTCCCATGCACTACAGTCTTTCTGAAGCCATGGAGAGTGGATGTACCCCTGAAATTATTGCCATTAGATAATCTTTAAACCTTAAACCAAAACCATCTCCTGAAGTCTTAAAACTAAACAATACCATATTGTAGTGGTGATAGTATTAAATGTCATTGAATCAATTCCAATTCACTGCTGAGGCCTCACAAAGCCCTGAGACTTGCTATGTGGACACCATGACCACACAGTGCTAAGTGGAGTGGGAGCACAACCCGTAGGAAGCAAAGGGTGAGTGGGGAAGCCTGCCTGAGACCTGAAGGATGAAGAGGTGCATTTCAGGTCAACAAGCAGTGACAGCCATTCCCAGCACTTCTCCATCAAGGAAGGCCAGCAATCCCCATGGCTGCAGGGCAAAGTTCCAGGGGAAAGGATAGAGGCTGGAGCCCAAATACAGAGTCTTGCATGCTAGGCTACAGAATTTAGATTTTGTTCCATGGAAGGGTTAAAGTTGAGAAGAATTCTGAGCAGAATCATTGGATCAAAGATGTCAGTGGAAAGGTTGGACAAAGTATGGACAAAGAGTCCAGTAAAGAATTACCCTTTGGTGCTGATGACAGAATTCGGGAGGTATAAATGAGCTCTGGTAGCAAGCATAGTGGTTACAAATCGGGCTGTGAACCGCAAGGT